TATGTGGCAAAAAAATTTTTTTTTCATACTCTGTGGTGTCTTGCACAGATTAATTTGATTTCCATTATTTCTTATGGGGAAAATTAATTCAGTTAATGATAATTTCAGCTAACGATGAGCTTTCAGGAATGGATTAATATCGTTAGCTGAGGGTCCACTGTATTCTAATTTCAAAATAAGGTCCAGAATAAACAATGCAGGCATTCCTGGTACTAAACTAACAATTCCTCTGTTCATTAGTTATGTTTTCAGGCTTTACAAATGAATTCCATTTTGAATTTTTATTCACATAATGAATTTTTATTCAAACCAAAAAATAGAAGATTTATTGTCATGCAATATTGTAATAATTGTATAAATAATATCACCACATTTGTGAATGTATATTAGACCCTCCAGCTGGCGTGTATTAGACGTGTTAGGTCATCTGTTTTCTCTTGAACATCGGCAAAAATTGAACATTTCTGCTTCTTTGAGCTCAGTTTCAAGCGATTTCCATTACTAAAATCAATCAAAATCTTCTCCATTTCTGTAATATATCTTCGATTCTACCACGAAATCGCAAATACAGTGGACCCCCGCATAACGATCACCTCCGAATGCGACCAATTATGTAAGTGTATTTATGTAAGTGCGTTTGTACGTGTATGTTTGGGGGTCTGAAATGGACTAATCTACTTCACAATATTCCTTATGGGAACAAATTCGGTCAGTACTGGCACCTGAACATACTTCTGGAGTGAAAAAATATCGTTAACCGGGGGTCCACTGTACAACTATAAAAAACATACGGGAAAACACTGCATAGTTGCTGTTTTAATCGAAAATTACGGTCTCAGTTTTTTCTCTCATTATGCACTGTGTGTTGCAGTAGTATTTGTTTTATGTGGTGCACACATACCACATAGAAAATGTGTTACTGGGCTTAACTGTAGAAAATTATTCCTTTCGTATGCCTTCACTCGGAGCGTCATTTCTTCTAAATATAGTGTTACATGAGAAAGGAAGTGTTCCTCCTGTAGAGACAACTTGTACACGATGTATCTTGTACATAAACCAGACGTGTTCGCCTGGTTTGTTTACGAAACTCACGTATGCCTGGTTTGTTTACATAACTCCGCGAGTGTCCTCTCTCTTGTACAGTGGACCCCCGGATAACGATATTATTTCAATCCAGAAGTCTGTTTGGGTGCTGTTATAGACCGAATTTGTTCCCATAAGAGATATTGTGAATTAGATTAGTCCGTTTCAGACCCCCAAAAATACACCTACAAAAGCACTTACAAAAATACACTTACATAATTGGTCGAGTTGGGAGCTGATCGTTATGCGGGGGTCCACTGTACTCATTCTCTCTCTCTCTCTCATTTATTCGTTTTATCTCGTTTACTCACCTCTGACCCTACATTAACCCCTTGACTGTCGCGGTCGTATATATACGTCATGGGAGATACCATGTTTGACGTATCCATACGCATAAATTCTAGCGGCTTCAAATTAAGCGGAAGAGGGCTGGTAGGCCTACATGAGAGAGAATGGGTCTCAGTGGTTGGTGTGCACCCTGTGAAAAAAATCTGGGACTCAGCGGTGCATTGTGGGAACGCCATCTTGGTAGTCCATTTTCACCATGCCTCGCGGTAAGAAGTTCCTCACTCCTCGGTGGATTGGAGGTCTTTTGTTTTCAAGTGATAGCTCAAACAGTGATGAAAGTGTCAGTGAAAGTGAATTCCCTGGTTCTGAAGCGGGTGTGACCGAAAAAAGTGCCCAGGATAACATAATTAGTGATGAATACCCAGATGACCCAGAACCTTCCACCTCTGGTGCTGGGCTGGCTCGTTCATGTTCACCTGTACCAGGACGAAAGAGGAAACTATTTGCCCGTGTACAAGACTCAGATGTGAGCAGTGCAAGTGATAGTGATAGTGATTTCAAGGGTATTGAAAGCAGTTCTAGTTGTGACAGTGAGGGTGAATATTCCCCAGTGAAGTGGCAGTATATACGACATCGCATGCGGTCTGGTAGTGTGCCATATGCTCTTCCAAGAGGAAGGAGTCTCAGAGCACATCCCGTGGCCCTACACCACGTCCTGATAGTGAAGATGACGATATTGTTACGATGGGTATCAATGATGCAAGTGAGGCAGCAGGCGGTGGTGGTGATAGTGATGGTGGCATGAGTCGTGTGACACCAGCAGTGGGCCACGCTACTACCCGCGCTGCTGACTCTGCACAACTACATCCAGCCTCACCTGATCCCACACTCCCACAACAACCACAACCACATTACAATATCCAGAACCCACCAGCTGATCGCATCTGGGATTGGCAGCAAGATGACAAGTTTGTTCCCAATCCCCATGACTTTGATGGAGGACAAAGTGGAATACGGCCATCATGTACACTTGGGAACAATCCCACTGAACTGGAATGCTTTCAGTTATTCTTTGATGAACCCTGATGGACATAATTGTCAGGGAAAGCAATACATAATATGAGTACACCATGGCAAACACTATTCTGTCACCAAGATCACGCCTACACCAGTGGAAGGACACAACTGTGGCAGAGATGTATCTGTTCTTTGCCACAATAATGCTTATGCCACATGTGTATAAGCATAGTGTCAACACATACAGCGCGACAGACCGCCTGATTTCAACCCCTGCTTTCAGTGACATTATACCAGTGAATAGATTTGTGTTACTGTTACGTATTTTCAGACAAAACAAGGCCTGACAGAAGTGACAGGTTATATAAGATCAGACGTGTGTTTATGTACCTGAAACAAAAGTGCTGTATGTATTTTTATCCCTTTAGGAAGCTTGTTATTGATGAGTCTTTGATTTTGTTCTAAGGAAGACTCTCATTCAAACAGGATACCAAGCAAGAGGAAACGCTTTGGCATAAAGTTATTTGTTCTGTGTGAGTGCAAAACTGGTCTGGTTTTGGATATAACTGTGTACACTGGTGGTAAAACATTGGAAGATACCAGAGTTACTGGGTATCTCTGGTGATGTGGTTAGAACAATGATGGAACAATATCTTGGTAAGTGGCATATTTTATATACTGACAACTGGTACACAAGCCCTTTACTCAGTGATTTCTTGCGAGTGAACATGACAAATGTGTGGGGCACAGTGCATGGAAATCATAAACATATGCCTAGATTCGATGCTGGCAGTCGTAAAGGTGAAGTGCAGGTGTTTGCTGCCAATGACATCATGGCATTTCGGTGGCATGACAAACGTGAAATCACACTGCTGACATCAGTTCACCGACACGAAATGGTAGACATTGGCAAGCAGAATAGAGAGACCAATGAACCCATTGTAAAACCTGCAGCTGTGATGGATTACAACCTCAATATGCGCTTAGTGGACAAATGTGACATGGAGATTGGGTTTGCTGACTGTGTTTGCAAGAGTTATAAGTGGTACATAAAACTGTTTTTCCATCTTCTTGACATTTCCATGCTGAATGCTTATAATATGTATAAGTTGAAGACCAACAAAAACCCAAATATGGTGAATTTTGTTTGTCAGTCATCAGACAAATAATATTCAAGTACCAAGGAACAACACCTGCAATAGACCAGCGCCCACGAAATTATCAACACATGTCCTCTCGTCTGAGGCCTGGTGATCACTACCCCATACCACTGCCTGCTACTACTGCCAAGAAAAATGCTCAGAAGAGGTGTTTTGTCTGTGGACATACCACAAAACGCCCACAAAAACGCAGAGACACTCGTTTTATGTGTGAGGAGTGTAAGACACCATTGTGCTTATACCCATGTTTCAAAGAATTCCACAAGCTGCAGCACTTCTAGAAAAGTGTCCAGTGATTGTACATATGTATATATATTATAGAACAATTGTAATAAACAATTGTTTACATTGTTTGTTTGTGTAAATAAGTTTTAGCAACATTATAATGATACGAGTGTTTTTGCTATAATTGTGTTACATTCAACAAGTGTATATTTGAACACTGCACAATAATTTGGTCTCACAGGCCACAAAAGTTATGTGATAAAATAAAATAGTGAAAAAAAAAGACACCATCGAATACAAGTAAATCAAAGTTTACCGGGTGAGCGGCAGTCGCTGCTGTTGCCGTTCGCAGATCAATTTCAGCAAACTTCAATGCTCTATATCTCAGTAAGTACTGATGGGAAAATTTTTTTTTTTTTTCGACTAAAACAATCAGAAAAATAATCTTAACATTTTCATAAGAAAATTTTTTTTTTTTCGAATATTTTGTGACACCAGGAGACACTTCAGGATTGGGCCTTTCGACAGTCAAAGGGTTAAAACTACAAATATTTTAAGGTAAGTAATGAGTGAACTATATATGCATTTTATTGCTCTGGGATGCATAATTGTCATAGAATATTACATGTGGGTGGGTTGGCCTGGTACAGTAGCCTGGGTGGCTACCATACATACCACACTTGATTTCTTACAACAAATACTATTCATCTCACCCTAGATTAAGACTACAAATATTTTAAGGTAAGCAATGAGTGTACTATATGTGTACTTTACCTTTTTGTTGTTTTAATGCCCTAGTTCTATTGCTAACTTAATATATGTGAGTGTAAACTTGTTATCTAGTATTCCCATGCATTTTTAAATGGAAAAAAAAGGGTGTTCCACTTTACGGCGGTAGCCTGGAACCTAACCTGTCATGTAAGTGGGGCCATGCAATATTAACTAGAAATAATGAGGATTTAAGCTAATGACCCAGTATGATGTAAGTTCATGTTATCACACTAAGGTCAAAAAACATACTGAACCTGAAATTCTTATGAAACACATAGTGCCACCTTGGGTAACCAAGTGCTTATATGCACCAGCAGAACTTGCAGAGTTAACCTGCAAGACTTTCACAACCTGGATCCTGAGTACCAGCCTAGATTATATTCTTTTATTCACAGTAGTCTGAAAATTTCAATTTGTTGTTAGGAAACCCACAGAAATGCTTGTACGTTAACTCACTTGAAGGATTGTAAAGCTTGCGATCTTTGTGACCAAGACCTTGTGTTGCTCGTCACTTCTTCCTGGGAGTGGTAATGATGCTCCTGCCATCACTGAGCTGATTACTTCCACAAGAAATGAAATAGTCGGTGGCAAACTGGTCTGCTGCAAGAGTGGACCCAACACTTTCTCTACAATATTGTACCTGCAGTAAAGAAACTTCGTCACTTACATCACATCATACAAGTACAAATACATACAAATATTAGAAAGTCCAAATTGTTTTACAGCAAAATATTAGTTACAAAAATTATGCTAGCTAATAATAATGATAACATGATGATGATAACTTGATTTCAGAGATACACTAGTTACAATAGCAGATCAATATTGTATTGTAAACCCTTGATTATAGCACAAATGATTTGCAATTATTTAAAACACTACTAAAAAAAGGGGGGGGCCCAAAAAAACAAAAATCAGTTTTCCAAAACAATTGCTATTATCAAAATAAAAATTTTTAAAAATTTAATTTAATGCACAAAATTTGGGGGGTTCCCACTGTAAGCATTTCAATTTTTTTAAACTAACCCACAAGTGGGAAGTGATGGTGCCCCATTTGTTGTGCGGGTTTATTTAGTTCACTGCACCATCACTGTGTTGTGTTTGAATTTTATTTCACTGCCCAATCACTGTGTTGTGTGATATTTTGCTAACTGCAAAATCACTTTTTTTTGTGCTGATTTTTCTAGCTCACGCCCATCACTATGTTTTGTGTATTTTAGCCCACTGAAACCATCATGTTTTCCCCATCACTACTGTGTAAATTTGTGGTGACATGTTAAAGGGCCCAAAGCTGATGATCCCCTCACTGGGAAGAAGGATAAACCCATGAAAAAAAAGCGGGGTAAAGTTTAGCTAAAAAAACCCCCAAAAAAAGTAGAAGTTTTTTTTTTTAAACACCTTTTTAAACCCCTTTTTGGGGGCCCAATGTCGCAGATCTTTGGCTTTTTCCCCTTGAGGGCCCAAAACCTTTAAGACTGGGCCCCTGAGCCAGCCATTCTGATAAGCTGTGAGTGGAAAAATTTGGGCTATACATGAGAGAAACTTTTTGTGGTTTTTTTGTGCCCAAACATAAAAAAAAATCCTGCGCCACTGTGCTTTAATGAGAGAAAAAAACTGAGATCGAAATTTTAAAACCAAATAAAACGCTATTTTCCCGTAGTAGGGGGTTTAAAACAGAAAACCCCCCCGGGGAAAAGTACAAACCGTCCTGCCCAAAATGACTGTGAAAAAAAAAAACCGAAAACTTTTTTGATGAGGTTTGGGAAATTGCTGGTTTTTTTTTTCCCTGTTTCTTAAACGTTTAGAAAACCCAGGGATATCTGCTACTCCTACTTACACTTTGGTCACAATTCAAAAGACACGCAAAATTTCATATATATATACATACATTAGGTTTTTCTCCTTTTTTTAAATAGCTCTTGTTTTTTCCCTTTTTTTCTTCTTTTGTCCCTGGGGAAATGGGAAAAAAAATTTTCCCCCCGTAAAGCCATGCGGGGTGTATGGGGGCGACTAAAATTTTCCCGGGGCAATTGGGTAGTAACCCCCTTTTTGTAGACATTTTTTAAAAAAGAGAAGAAAAAAAATTTAAAAAAAAACTGGGATGCTTTAAAAGTGTTTGGGTGTAGTGCGGAGACCAAGAAACAGATGATTGCTGATGTTATGAATGAAAAGAAGTTGGTTTTCCTGGCCCCAAAGCAAACCCCCCGCTAAAAGGGGTTTGGGGAGTTTCAGTGGGGGGAAATAATTGGGATTAAATTGGAGTATCTGGGAGAGTTAGAGAAAGGAAGGGGGGGAGGGAAATAATGTTAAAGATCGTTATGGGGGGGAGAAAAGAGGGAAAATGAATGTGTAAATTCAAGAATTATTTGTGGGTTAAAGTTAAAAAGGGTTTGGGTGGGAGAAGTGGGTATAATAAGGTTTTATGCACCGGAGAAGAGAGGAATGCCCGAGGAGGAAAAAAAAGAGATTTTGGGAGGGTGTTAAGTGAAAAGTATTGGTGCCCTTTTAAAACCAAGTGGAGGGGGTAATTGGGAGGGGGACCTAATGTTTAAAAAAGGAGAAAATTTTTGAGAGGGGAAGGGGTTTAGGTTTTGGGAGTTTGGGGGTTTGGGCCGGTGTAAATGATTTAAGGGAGCCCTTTGATTGAATTTGTATGAAAGGGAGGGGTTTTGCTATAGGTAATAACTTTTTTTAAGAAAAAAAGGGAAAAAATAAAATAAATTTCAAAAAATAGGGTGTAGGGGGAAAAAAACCCGTAGTTTGGTTTGGGTTTTGTATTGGTAGATAAAAGGGCTGTTGAGGAGACTTCAGGATGTACATGTTTATAGGGGGCCAAAGTTTTATCAGATCACTTTCTTGTTGGGAAAATACACTGAGAGTTTAAAGGTTGATGGGATACAAAGGGGAATTTGAAACATCAAAAAGGGGAAGGAAAAAGGGGTGAAGGTTTATAAAATTTAAAAAAGGGGGGGCAAAATTAGGGTTAAGATTTTAAAAAGCTATTGGGGATAGATGGGCCCAATGAGAGATAGGCAAAGGGGTTTGAAAAGGTTTTGGGGTAGGTTTAAAAATGTAGTGTTAGAGTGTTCAGCAGAAGTTTGTGGTTACAGGAAAGTGGGTGCAGGAGGGAAGAGGAGCGATTGGTGAAATGATGACGTAAAGAGAGTAGTAAGGGAGAAAAAGTTAGCATATGAGAAGTTTTTACAAAGTAGAAGTGATGCAAGGAGGAGAGAAGAGTATATGGAGAAAAAGAGAGAGGTTAAGAGAGTGGTGAAGCAATGTAAAAAGAGAGTAAATGAGAGAGTGGGTGAGATGTTATCAACAAATTTTGTTGAAAATAAGAAAAAGTTTTGGAGTGAGATTAACAAGTTAAGAAAGCCTAGAGAACAAATGGATTTGTCAGTTAAAAATAGGAGAGGAGAGTTATTAAATGGAGAGTTAGAGGTATTGGGAAGATGGAGGGAATATTTTGAGGAATTGTTAAATGTTGATGAAGATAGGGAAGCTGTGATTTTGTGTATAGGGCAAGGAGGAATAACATCTAGTAGGAGTGAGGAAGAGCCAGGTGTGAGTGTGGGGGAAGTTCGTGAGGCAGTAGGTAAAATGAAAGGGGGTAAGGCAGCCGGGATTGATGGGATAAAGATAGAAATGTTAAAAGCAGGTGGGGATATAGTTTTGGAGTGGTTGGTGCAATTATTTAATAAATGTATAGAAGAGGGTAAGGTACCTAGGGATTGGCAGAGAGCATGCATAGTTCCTTTGTATAAAGGCAAAGGGGATAAAAGAGAGTGCAAAAATTATAGGGGGATAAGTCTGTTGAGTATACCTGGTAAAGTGTATGGTAGAGTTATAATTGAAAGAATTAAGAGTAAGACGGAGAATAGGATAGCATATGAACAAGGAGGCTTTAGGAAAGGTAGGGGGTGTGTGGACCAGGTATTTACAGTGAAACATATAAGTGAACAGTATTTAGATAAGGCTAAAGAGGTCTTTGTGGCATTTATGGATTTGGAAAAGGCGTATGACAGGGTGGATAGGGGGGCAATGTGGCAGATGTTGCAAGTGTATGGTGTAGGAGGTAGGTTACTGAAAGCAGTGAAGAGTTTTTACGAGGATAGTGAGGCTCAAGTTAGAGTATGTAGGAAAGAGGGAAATTTTTTCCCAGTAAAGTAGGCCTTAGACAAGGATGTGTGATGTCACCGTGGTTGTTTAATATATTTATAGATGGGGTTGTAAGAGAAGTAAATGCGAGGGTCTTGGCAAGAGGCATGGAGTTAAAAGATAAAGAATCACACACAAAGTGGGAGTTGTCACAGCTGCTCTTTGCTGATGACATGTACTCTTGGGAGATTCTGAAGAGAAGTTGCAGAGATTGGTGGATGAATTTGGTAGAGTGTGCAAAAGAAGAAAATTAAAGGTGAATACAGGAAAGAGTAAGGTTATGAGGATAACAAAAAAGATTAGGTGATGAAAGATTGAATATCAGATTGGAGAGAGAGAGAGTATGGAGGAGGTGAACGTATTCAGATATTTGGGAGTGGACGTGTCAGCGGATGGGTCTATGAAAGATGAGGTGAATCATAGAATTGATGAGGGAAAAAGAGTGAGTGGTGCACTTAGGAGTCTGTGGAGACAAAGAACTTTGTCCTTGGAGGCAAAGAGGGGAATGTATGAGAGTATAGTTTTACCAACGCTCTTATATGAGTGTGAAGCGTGGGTGATGAATGTTGCAGCGAGGAGAAGGCTGGAGGCAGTAGAGATGTCATGTCTGAGGGCAATGTGTGGTGTGAATATAATGCAGAGAATTCGTAGTTTGGAAGTTAGGAGTAGGTGCGGGATTACCAAAACTGTTGTCCAGAGGGCTGAGGAAGGGTTGTTGAGGTGGTTCGGACATGTAGAGAGAATGGAGCGAAACAGAATGACTTCAAGAGTGTATCAGTTGTAGTGGAAGGAAGGCGGGGTAGGGGTCGGCCTAGGAAAGGTTGGAGGGAGGGTGTAAAGGAGGTTTTGTGTGCGAGGGGCTTGGACTTCCAGCAGGCATGCGTGAGCGTGTTTGATAGGAGTGAATGGAGACAAATGGTTTTTAATACTTGACGTGCTGTTGGAGTGTGAGCAAAGTAACATTTATGAAGGGATTCAGGGAAACCGGCAGGCCGGACTTGAGTCCTGGAGATGGGAAGTACAGTGCCTGCACTCTGAAGGAGGGGTGTTAATGTTGCAGTTTAAAAACTGTAGTGTAAAGCACCCTTCTGGCAAGACAGTGATGGAGTGAATGATGGTGAAAGTTTTTCTTTTTCGGGCCACCCTGCCTTGGTGGGAATCGGCCAGTGTGATAATAAAAAAAAAAAAAAAAAATTGCAATTTCTTGGTCTCATTTGATAGAATGGAAGATATATTACAAAAAGAGAGATGATTTTGATTGGTTTTAGTAATGGAAATGGGTTGAAACTGAGCTCAAAATAGCAGAAATGTTCAATTTTTGCCAATGTTCAAGCGTAAACAAATGATCCCACACGTCTAATACACTCCAGCTGGTGGGTCTAATATACGTTCACAAATGTGGTGATATTATTTATATAATTATTACAGTATTGCATAACAGTAAATCTTCTATTTTTTGGTTTGAATAAAAATTCATTA